GGTGTGTGCGATGGGAGAAGGAAAGGGGAGACAGACAGCTAAAATAAGTAAGTGAAATACGTGGCATGTCGAGTGTCGGTAAGTGTAACGGAGAAAAAATGGAGAAAGGAGAAGAAATGCCAGCGTGGCAATGGCCTGCGGTGTTACACAGGGAAGCCTCACCGAGCAGGTCGCAGATGAGCAAGGACTTGAAGTGAATGAAGATGGGAGGTATGTAGGTATTTAGTGACACGGTGATCCAGGAGGAAGAACCAGCAAGTGCAAAGGCCCTGAGGTGGAAGCATGCTTGAGAAGAAACACTCATGTCCTCAGAATCTGGTCCCGGACAGGCCTGCTCTTAAACCAGACTGAAGACAAGAAGTTGTTTTTAGGGGAGCCTGGGTGGCTCGCTTGGTTAGGCATCCGAATCTTGATGGCTCAGGTCATTATCCCACAATTCATGAATTCGAGCCCCACACTGGGCTCCTTACTGATCGCATGGCGCCTGCTTGGGATTCTGTCTCTTCCTCTCTGCTCCTCTCACACTCTATCTCATGCTTTCTCAAAATAAACAAACAACAACAAAAAAGAAATTGTTTCTAAATTAGAGCAGCTCCTCTCCTCAGAGTGACCAATTATTCCTTTTTTCTGGATTGGCTGGATATGTTTTCAGTGCAGAAATGTCCTCCCTGGCTCCTCTCCTGCTGCCTGCCCAGGTTACTGGTGGCCACTGCTCTCCTGGGGCTCCTGAGTTTGGCCTCGAATTCACCCCAAGGTCACTGTGTGGGGCAATGGGCACACCCAGAGCACAGGCCCCATTCCAGTACCAGCACGTACCCACAATGGAGAGGATTCTGGTTCCCACACCCATCTGTCCCACATAGTCTGTTTAACACCAGCTTTCGCAGCTGCAGCTAAAGCCAGCAGGGCAGACTTTGGGGAGACAGTCAGGTCTGTGGACGTGGGGCCTGCTTCCCCAGGCTCACGTTCAAGCCCACCTCTCCATTCTCCCTCCTCTCCCCTCATCCTCCAGGATCCCACTGGCATGCCACCCTATCCAGGAAGCCTCCTTCCAGATGGAAGAACTTCTCTCTTCTTTGGATTGACATAGCAATTCTCTCCCTCCTACAATCAGAAGCCACAGCCTATTATAATCCAGTTGGCTGAATCCACTTCCCCACAAAATGTAGACTCCTTGAGGCCAAAACTGGACTCACTCTTGCTTCCCCACTACACCTGAACAGGCCCTTTCACACGGCTGTAACCCGATAAAGTCTTTGTGGATTGACTTGAAGATGTTCCTTGTCACAGGCTGCTTAAACACCTTCCTCCCAAGCCCCAAGGCCACATTCCTCCGGACCCAATATCTGACCTCTTCTGGCGGGGTAAGGCCTAAGGGGCATCCTGCAGTGTGTTGGCCTCCCCTCTCCCAGAAATCCACAGAAAATTTGCTGCCTACAGGCCCAGGGTGCTGCAGGTCAGAGGGTGAGGTCGCCCCTTCAAAACTGAATAGGCTATAATCATAAAAAGATTAAACATGAATGTTCTTTCTCAAAACACAAGGCTTTGGACGTCTTTGGCCTCACAGCCAATCTGAGCGCTTCTCTGGCATTGATTGGACTGGCCTCAGGAAGGACAGCGTGTTTTACAACTGTTTACAGGAGAAGGGGGAAACTCAAAGGAGCCAAAGAAAGAAATACTGTTAGGAGACCAGGGGAACTGAGGTGCAAAACGCGGGAAGGTCAGCATCACTGGTCAGCTCTAGGCCAGGGCCACAGGGTCACACAGAGGAGCTTGTTCTTTGGGTAAACAATACTGGGCAGTTTAAGAGGTACTTTGTGACCAGAGCTATGCAAATGTGATTGGGAGGTGACTGGAATGGGGTGAGCCCAGAGATGCAGCACAGAAAGGTCATTCAACCTGGACTTCAAATTCCAGTAAGCGCTTCAAACTCACACTTTTACAATTATCCCCAATGAAACCCTTCATACAGTCACAGACACCAGCTAGCAGCATGGATAGAAGAGGACGACCATCACCTGACTTGAATGTCCCAGGACAGAGCCATGTAGCACTATGAAGTAACAGGGCTTTACAAACCCCATCATCCTCTTGCAAATAGAGCAATTCTACTATACCGTGTTTTCGTAAAAGCATTCATTTTTGCCAATACTTAAAATATTTTAAACATGCCATGACTCCGAGAAGCAAAGATAGCCCTCTCTAATATCATCCTCCACGAAAGGGAACCAGAGCTCCTCAAGAAAAGGCTGGTTCCAGCTGGTACAAGATGAGTCCAGAATATCCTGTTATGCCAGAAAATAGGTGCCCAAAGAGTGATGAGCACATGTTATAAGGACATGGGATGCAGCTTGAAGAGACGGCCTCTGATGACATCCATAGCAGTTTGAGCACCAAGGTAATTAAGTACAGTGCTGGGCAATTAAATAGTAATGAATTATAAACCAGTGTAAAAGACAAGAATTCATGAGTCCATGCTGATAATAAATAGGTACATAAATAAACAGAGGACTGGAAGAACTCTTGGTTGAAACAGGACTCTTGAGGGTTGACTATTTTTTATTTTTAATTTTTTAAATTTATTTTTGAGAGAGAGAGAGACAGTGCAAGTGGGGAAGGGGCAGAGAGAGAGAGGGAGACACAGAATCCGAAGCAGGCTCCAGGCTCTGAGCTGGCAGCACAGAGCCTGATGCGGGGCTCAAACTCATGAACTATGAGATCATGACCTGAGCCAAAGTCGAATGCTCAACCGACTGAGCCACCAGGCGCCCCTTCAGGGTTGACTATTAAATGGGGTGGGATTGGTGAATTTGGACAATCATCACTTTGCAACCATCCTGGTAAAGACTACATCAGTGGATGCTAAGTCTAGGGGGAAATTGAGATGAGGAACAGGATATTTACGTGGTCTTAAACTGTTCTTCCACAGATTGTATATTAGTTGCAAGGGAGAAAATAATGATTATACAAAGAAAAAATCAGATAACACCTAGAGTGGGTGATTAAAATTAGCATCATCGATGAGAAATGGATGGGTACCATGTGCCTCCCAGACATGATACCCTAAGAAGGACACATTATCACCTATGCAGTATTCCAGTCAAGAATATAAACCCCAATCTAATCATCAGGAAAACATCAGGCAAACACAAAATGAGGCACATTCCGTTAGAAGGGGGAGCCAGGGCATGCTGTATTCCTTCAAAAATGTCAATGCCATGCAAGACAAAGAAAGCTGGGGAATGTTCCAAATTCAAGAAGGCTAAAGAGACAAGGCATTTAAACCTTGACCTTAATCTGGAACCTATATGGTGGGTGAGGGGTGGGGTGGGAACACTATGAAGGGCATTACTGGGTGAACTGAGAAAACTGGAATACAAACGGTAGATTTTACAAAAGTACTATATCAATGTTAAATTTGCTGAAGCTTGTAACTGTACTACAGTTATGTACAAGAATATCTCTATTTTTAGAAAATACAAACTAAAAAAAAAAAAAATTTAAGAAGGGGCGCCTGGGTGGCGCAGTCGGTTAAGCGTCCAACTTCAGCCAGGTCACGATCTCGTGGTCCGTGAGTTCAAGCCCCGCGTCAGGCTCTGGGCTGATGGCTCAGAGCCTGGAGCCTGTTTCCGATTCTGTGTCTCCCTCTCTCTCTGCCCCTCCCCCATTCATGCTCTGTCTCTCTCTGTCCCAAAAATAAATAAACGTTGGAAAAAAAAAAAAAAGAAAATACAAACTGATATATTTAGGGACAGAGGGCCATGATATAAATAACTTAACTGCAAATGGCTCAGAAATTAGGTAGGCGATAGATGGATATATGATGGATGGATGGAAGGACGGACGGACAGATGAAAGAGGAAGACAGAGAAGCAAACGATAAAGCAGTTGGGTAAAGTGTTAGCAGGAGCTGAATCCGGATAAAGGGTTACAGGTATGTTTGTACTAGTTTTATTTGTGTGTGTTGTCTGTAAGATTGAAATTATTTCCAGATAAAACGAATTTTTAGATTTTCTCCACAACTGCTCTAGCCATGGTTTAGAATCTATTCATTTTTAATACGGCAAAAGTCTCCAAAAACGCAAAAGAAGCCCAGATCTCTTGTGACCTTTCAGTCACAAGAGGCTCTCACTTGACCCCGCATCCTCTCTCTCCATAGAAGGGGGAAGGGCAGGGAGACCTCAGAGGGACTGGTCCATGCTCGAGCACCAGCTGAATGACCAGAGACACAGCCGGCTCCATCCAGATTTTGATGAGTTGGAGACCCTCAGGGTTTTGTCCAGGTTCTTAAGCTGAGACCATGCTAATATGGAATGCTTTCAAATGGCTAGGTGCGTCCTCAATGCCAGGTCCCTTTCTCCCCTCTCCGTAGCCCTTCCCTGGGCAAGGTCATCCTCCCCACCACTTTCGCTCACCACGTCCAAGGTGCTGACTCCAGGTTTATGAATCTAGCCCAAGCCCCTTAGCTTCAGCCCTTCATATCCAACTACCTCCTTGACCACTATGTCCCAGAGGTGGCTCAAGCAGGTCCCTCTCCCACATTCCCCCTGACAGAAAAAGCACCATGCAGTTGCCCAAACCAGTTCCTGCCTCCTAAGTATCTGCCCAAGCCACCCACTTCTTTCCATCTCTAGGTCAACTCCTAAATACCCACCGGGCTGTCCACACTCACCCTCCATTCTCCAGCAACACCCAGAAGGCTCTTTTCAAAATAAAAGTCATCATCAAGCGCATCTCTCTTTGAAACGCTCCTTCTGGTAACTCTTAGGATAAAATCCAAAAGCTTCAAGGGGCCTTGAAGACCTCAAGTGGTTTATTCCAAGCGCTTCATCTCACATCTCTCCGTCGTAGCCCCGCCCCCCCTCCCGCCCCCGACCACACACAGACTATGTCCAAGTGCCTGGAGTTTGCCCGGCAGCTTGACACCTCAGCATCTTCCCAGGGGCTATTCCTGCACCTGGAAGGTGCTCCCCCTACCCCTACCCCTCCCCCTTGCTCACCTCCATCCATCCTTCAACTTTATAGCCTGAGATGCTCTATGGGTCCGCGTGGGGGCCACATGTCAGGGAAGGAACAAGGTCACGGGCAGCAGGGAGGCACCGGGCACTGTTTGGGCCTGAGTGTGAGGATGAGAACAGAGGTTTGGGACCCAGAGAACAGAGTCCTGGAGGGATTTCAGGTTTCAAGCAGTTTTTAGAAGCCTTCGGAGTTTTAGCCCCCATTTCCTACAGTGTGGCAGACTGAATTTTCCCAAGATGGCTACCACAATGCCTCCCTCCCCTGAGCCCTTCTTAATGTGCCTTTGACACTCAAAGCTAAGGCATAAGAGGCACACAGCCTCTGCCTGGGTCTCAGCCCTGAGCCACCACGTAAGGAGTCTGACTGTGCTGAGGCTGCTAAGCCCTAGGCACATGGACAGGCCACATGGAGGTGTCCCAGCTCACAGCCCCGGCTGAAGTCCCAACCGCAGCCAGCATCATCCACCAGGCACATGAGCAAAGACGACCTCCAGCCACAGTCACCCTAGCCTTCAAGTCTTTTTCGATGAGGCCCCAAACAGCACGGAAGGGAGACAAGCCATCCCTGCTGTGTCCTGTTCGCATTTCTGACCCACAGAATCTGTGGGCGTAATAAAACGGTTGTTTTAGGCAGCTGAGTTTGGGGATGGTTTCTTATGCAGCAATAGTCAGTAGAACACACAAGATGTTAATAGATATTATTATACAAAGAGCGGGGAGAGGGGGAGGGTTCCTGTAATTAAATGTTTGGAAAGTACTTCGTTACACAAATTCCAAGCCAAACAGGGTTTTATTTTACTACAGGGCTCTTCATAGCCTCTAATGTATTATGTGTACTGTGAATCTCCAAGAGGGGGATACGGTATTGGGTGTTCCCCAAATGTTTTTTTCCCCCCAGGGGAAGTCATTTATGCAAAAGGCTGAGGGTCCAGCCCTAGTTTTTCGTGGGGAAGCCATATGAGGCCCAGAAATATTCAGGGGCCTGTCCGGAGGTACCCAGAGTCAGGACCGCGACCCTGGTCACTGGGTGCCCGGCTGAGGGGAAGCTCCGGGTCGGGCACAAGGATTGTGCGGAGTCACGTGGGAGGCCGCGGTGGCTCTCGGTGCCACGTCTCTTTCTCCGCCTCTCCTGTGGCCTGCAGCTCTCACCCCTGTCTCCTTCTTCACCCCCTACGTGGGGGTAGCAGCCCCCACTCCTTTTCGACCCCACTTCCCATCCCCAGCACACCACACGCACACACGGCACACTGCCCACCTCCACGGCCAACCTCGGCCCCTCACAGCTGGGCCTGCCTCCGTGAAAGCTGCTTCTCTGCCCCGAACACTGCCTGTTGTCTCATCCCCGGAGCTGCTGGGCTCCTCCTCCTCCTTCCAAGCCCCGGCTGGAAGAGGAACACAGCCCTCCCTTGTCCCTCCTCTTGATATTTCCAGTAAAAGCACCTCGAACACAATCTCACTGCCACAGCCCTAATTATGTGTGAAATCATTTTTTTTTTAGCTCGAAACCAAAGCAAACAAGCGCACACAGAGAAGCCCATTCTCTGCGGCCCAGGAGGAGCGGCCTCGCTCCTGTCGGGTTACCTCAGGGCCGCACAGAGACCCCGCTGTGTTTCGCAAGCTGCCCGCCAGGCCAAGGTGCCTCCCGGCCCGACCGGGGAAGCGGGCCGCCCCCTCAGGAGAAAGAGTGGGTTTCAGCTTATCCTGCACCTTTCACGCAGGCTCACAGGAGCCTCACACAGGCCGGGCACGCCGTGAGGCCCCCAGGAAAACGCCTCTTTGAGAAAAGTGGGGTCCTCAGGAGGGACGTGGGGCAGGGAGCCTTCCCCAGAGGACAGAGACTGTTTTCCTGATGCAGTCAAATCCTTTTGCACCTCTGGTGAAATGTTTGTCATTTTATTTTATTTCACAGTTTCGGGTGGAACGTCGAGAAGATCATCTGTGGCATCATTCGCATGTGGCCACCATCTTGTTTCCAGCACCCCTCTTTCCAGACATCCATTTCATCCTTTCTCCACTGACAACTGCATTCAGACTGGTTGAACATGCATTCTTTGATGCAGATGTGTGCCCTTTGAGAAGACAGTGCTGTGGTGAGCGTATGGGATTTTAATTTATGTTGATGGGACTGGCAGAAATGTACCCTACTCCTAACCTTTTCGTCCCGGTCCTGTGTTCGGAAGCTGGGCCCCTGATGCCAGATAACCCTTCTACATAGGACCACTGTGTCACAGCCCACACCTGCCCCCTCTCCGTTAGTCCACCTGCCTGGTGACGGATGCCTGGGTTGTCTCCCCCTCCTGGCTACCACAAATCAGGTGATGGTGGACATCTATGTGTGTGTGCCTTCATGGATCTTTGCAGGCAATTTGTGGGCCTGCATACCCAGGATTTGGACTGCTGACTTGCAAGATACACACTCACTTGGTTTCACTAAGCACTGTTGGGCTGGCTTCCAGAAGAACACCTGTAACCAGTTTGTACTTCCACCAATAGGGTATGAGGGTTCCTGTTTCCTCGCCATCTTACCAGCACTTGGTATTATCCAACTTTCTAATGATTACCAATATTTGAGTATAAAATGGTATTGCTTTTTAAATTATATTTCTTATGGTTATTGAGATGGAGTATCTCATATACATATATATATATATATATATATATATATATATATATAACTTATTGTCAACTTAGCTAACATATAGTACATACAGTGTGTTCTTGGTTCATCGCTGACACACAATACCCAATGCTCATCCCAATGCTCATCAACAAGTGGCCTCTTCAGTGCCCATCACCATTTCAGCCCCCCCCCCCCAGCCGCCACCTGCCATTAACCCTTAGTTTGTTATTTAAGAGTCTCTTATGGTTTGCCTCCCCCTCTGTTTCAAACTATTTTTCCCCTTCCCTTCCCCCATGGTCTTCTGCTAAGTTTCCTAAGTTCCACATGTGAGTGAAAACATATGATATGTCTTTTTATGACTGACTTATTTCACTTAGCATAATACCCTCCGGTTCCATCTATGTTGTTGGAAGTGAAGTATCTCTTTAAAAAGTCCTTATTCAGATTTCATTTTCTGTGAACTGCTCACCTATATCCTTTGACATTTTTCCATGCCCCTCCCCCCATCACCACCAAAACAAACAAAGAAACAAAACCAAGAAAAACAAAAACCCTTTGCTGGAATTGTGATTGAAATCGGGTTGGGTAAAGATTAATTTAAGGGCAGTTTACATCATTACAATGTGAAGCCATCCCATTCAGAATTATGGTCTACAGTTGTCTAACAGAAATATAACATGAGGTGCATATGTAATTTTAAAAATTTTAGCAGTGGGGTGCCTGGGTGTCTCAGCCAGTTAAGACATGACTCCCGATCTCAGCTCAGGTCATGATCTCGCATTTGTGGAATCAAGCCCTGCGTTGGACTCTGCACTGACAGCTCACAGCCTGGAGCCTGCTTGGGATTCTCTCTCTCCCTCTCTCTCTGCCCCTGCCCCACTCACTGCTCTCTCCCTCTTTCTCTTTCTCAAAATAAATAAACTTAAAAAAAATTAGTATTAACTTTCTTTTTAAAAAAATTAAAAGATGCGGGTGAAACTAATAGTACATTTTGTTTAACCAAGTCTTCGAAATGGAGTGTGTGTTTTGTATTTATACAACATTTCAACTCAAACTAGCTACAGTTCAAGTGCTCAGCAGTTACATGTGGCTAGTTGCTATGGACTGGATGGCATAGGTCTAGTGCTTAATTTATTCATGTATTAAGTCCTTAATTTTATTTTAAAAATTTTATTTATAAACATCTCAGGAATTTTTCCATTAAAATCTTTGTTTCGATTGCAAATGTTACCCTATTTTCTGGTTGGTCTTTCCAGAAATGTTTGTAATTTTTTTTTCACATTAATCTTGAATCTAGTAAATGTGCGAAACTCTCTTATTAGTACCAGATGTTTGTAGATTCTGCTGACTTTTTAGATAATTGATCATCTTTATAAATAATGATAATCTTTACTCTTCTTAATTGTTCTATTATTTGTTTTTCTTAATACATTAACAACACCTCAATTGCTATGCTGAATACCAAACATCCTTGTCTTATTCCTAGGATTAAAAAGAATGTTATTAACATTTCTCTTTAAGTATGAGATTTGGGGTAGATAAATTTTATCAAGGGAGTGTCTATCGATTCTTAATTTTCTAAGAATTTTTAAAATTATAAGTTTTAAAAATTATAAATAGGTGTGTACTTTATCAAAAACCCTTTAGGAGGTGCCTGGGTGGCTCAGTTGGTTAAGCATCTGACTGGAGTCATGATCTTGCACTTCGTGGGTTTGAGCCCCGCATCGGGCTCTGCGCTAACAGTGCGAAGCCTGCTTGGGGTTCTCTCTCTCCCTCCCTCTGCCCCTCCCCTGCTCTCTCTCTCTCTCTCTCTCGCAAAAAATAAACTAAAAAATTATTTTAAAAGACATATATAATACATATGATATATATACATCACATACAATAGACAATTATCTTGTCTTTGGTGTGCTTTCTTTTCCTTTCGTCCATTAATATGGTGAATTGCACTGACTTTGTTTTTCTGATGTTGAACAATTCTTGCTTTCCTGGAATAAACTCTATTTGATCATAATTTCTTATCTTTTTAAAAAATACATATCTGGATTAGTTTAACTGAGATCTTAAGATTTTAAAAGAAACAGGTCTACAATATTCTTTTCTTGTGATGTCCTTTATCAGTTCTGGAATCAAGGATATGTTAGCCTCATAAAATCATTTTATTCATTTCAATTCTATTTTCTGGAAAATGTGTATAACGTATAATAATAATGTTGTCTTTAGGAGACATCATATTGCTTAGACCTGTTTTGCTTATAATCCAATCTGATCAGTGAGTTTAGCTCATTTACATTTATTTTAATTACTAGTATATTATGACTTATTTCAGCCATCTTATTTTATGGTTACTCTTACTTATTATATAGATTTTCTCTTTTCTAGTTTCCATTGCATGAATCAGATTTTTTTCTGCTGGACTGAAAGTAATATATTTCGTCTTTATTCTTCTAATGGTTTTGCCTAACTTTTTAAGAATCATGTTTATTTTCTACTATTAATTTCTTTTTCCTTGGCACTCACTCACCTCTTTCTTGTCTCCATATCCCCTCAACATCATCCCCACTCTGTCATACTAATATCACCTAGAATTGGTTCTTGATTGTTATAAACAATTCTTCTCTCTCTATTTAAAACTTCTTTTCTAGTGGTTTGCCTCCCTCCCTCTCTGTTAAATACAGAGAACAAACTGAGGGTGGATGGGAGGGTGGGGGAGAGGGGAAAGTGGGTGATGGACATTGAGGAGGGCACTTGTTGGGATGAGCACTGGGTGTTGTAGGTAAGCCAATCTGACAATAAATTATATTAAAAAAATAAATAAAACTTCTTTTCCAGAGAATGACAAATCTTATTATTTGTAAACCCTTATTTCTCATGCCTCATTGCTTCCTCCTGTTGAGAAGTCTGACATCAATGTAATTCTTATAGATCTGCTTTTTTCTTTCCGTAAACTTTCAGAATTTTCTCTGGCGTTTGGTGTTCTGAAACTTCTCTGCCATGTGTCCCACTTAGTATTTGTTTTGAGCCCATCTGTCTCATTTGGTACTCCATGAACTTTTAAAATCCAAGTTCTTTCTTTCTTTAATACTATGAAATTCTTAGTCACTATTTCCTCTTTTCCATATACTCTTTTCTCTCTCTCTCTCTGGAATTCTCATGTAATGAACTCTACTAAGTGACAAGCACTTTTCCAGGTGATGCCGTTACAGTACTGAACAAAGCAAAGCCCTCGTGGAGCTCGAATTATGTCAGCTGGTTGGGGGGGGGTGGGAGGGTGGAGAGAAAATGGGCAATAAACAAATGGCTGTGCGATATGTTGAAGAAGAAAATGCCATGGAGACAAATAAAGAAGGATAAAGAGGTTAGGGAGTCCCAGGTGGGGTGGGGTTGGGAAGGCATCTCAGAGTAAAGGCCTAAAAGAACTAAGTGAGGGAGCCATGCAGACATGGAGGAAAAGAGAATCATAGACAGAAACGCAAGGGCAAAGGCCTTGGGAGAGAGGCACACTTGGCTTGTCGGAGGAGCAGGAGAAGGGGGAAGATGGAACGAGTAGGGAAGGGGCAGAGCAGCAGGGAGAGGTAGCGAGAGGCCAGATCGGGTAGGTCCTGTAAGACCTCGGGTTATAATAAGAACTTGGACAGAGAGGGAAAGCTGTCAAAAGATTTTGAACGGAAGAGTGATAGGACCTGAATTTGTTTTTGAAAGACTCACCCGGGCTGCCCTGTGGATAATGAGGGGAACAAGGGAAACAGAAAACTCAGGAAAATATCACAACAATCCAAGTGAAAAATGATGGTGGCTTGGACTGGGTGGAGAGTGTGGAGTTGGTAAGAGAAGGTCAGATGCTGGATAGATCTTCACAGTAGAGCTAATGCGATCTCTGACACGTTGGATGTCGAATGTGAAAGGAAGACAGGAATGGAGCATAATTCACGGGCCTAGGATGGCTACCACATTCAGGGCATTACATCCAGTTCCAAAACTGACCAATGGAAGAAGCGGTGATCTCTTGTATTTCACTCTTCAGGACGAGGAGACCCAGGTTTCCTAGTGAGCACCTCCTTAAATCCCGTGCTCTATCTAGCCACTTGCTCGTCTCACCCTCGCCCCAGCCCTGATGGGGCCATCTAAGCTGCAGTATCGTTTTAAGACCAGAAGTTAAAGAAAAAGAATGTAAGTATTCTAAATGTAGACATTATGAGCTCTTCAGAAGCCAAGAATTAGTCGTTACAGCTCTCCAAGCTAGAAATGAAAAAAAGCCACAGAAGCATCTTACGAAAAGTCATCAAACTGCATTCATTGAAAGACTAATAAAGTCTTGTACAGTTGACCCTGCTGAGTCCACCTACTGAATGAGAAGTCAGTGAAAGAAATAACACAGCCGCTTCCCAATGATACAGCAACTTGCCAAATGCAAGATTTAGCTGCAACACGAAGACTGAGCTGATTGCTCTTTGGCAGACTTGAATTTCGCCTTACAAATGGATGAATGTACAGGTGTGGCTGGAGAGCCGTCTGGCTCCTATCTGTCCAGGCTCAGCGCTAACTAATCATTGGAGATCTTTTATGTGAATGTTTGGCAACAGACACAAGCAGTGCCGAAATATTCAAAGTGCTGAAGAACTTTTTTGAATCTTAGGGTTTATCCTGGAACAACTGTGTTGACGTTTGTGCTGATGATACAAAAGCAGTGGTGGGTAAAACCGCTGAGGTCTTAGCACCCAGACAGGGGCAAATGACACCCACAGCCATCGTGTGCTTCGCTGCCACGCATTGCCAATTAAAAGGAAAAATCAAAAAGCCAGTTTCACTTTAGACTGTCCTGGAGGAAGCAGTAAGAGTTTGTTAATTTTGCTAAATCTCAATACTTCAGCATGTCTTTTTTCTTTTAACATGACTTTTAATATCTTAGGCAATGGGATGGAAAGTATATGTAAAGCATAAAAGCATAAAGCATGTCTGAGGCACCAAAGAAGATGGTTCCCTGGAAAAAAACCACTTG